AAAAAAAAAAAAAAAAAATGAAATGGGGCAGGGTGAGGTGGTTCATGCCTGTAGTCCCAGTACTTTGGGAGGCCACGACAGGAGGATTGCTTGAGGCCAGGAGTTCAACACCAGCCTGGACAGCATAGTGAGACCCCCATCTCTATGAAAATTTAAAAATTAGCCGGGTGTGGTGGTACACACCTGTAGTCCCAGCTACTTGGAAGGCTGAGGTGGGAGGATTGCTTGAGCCTGGGAGGTCAAACCTGCAGTGAGTCGTGTGATGCTGCACTCCAGCCTGGGTGACAGAGCATGACCCTGTCTCAAAAAAAAAAAAAGAAAGAATGTCTTTTGCAGCAGCTTGGATTAAAGTGGAGGCCATTATCCTTAATGAAGTAACTTAGGAACAGAAAACCAAATACTCCACGTTCTCACCAATAAGTTGGAGCTAAGCTATGGGTATCCAAAGACATACAGAGTGGGGACATTGGAGACTCAGAAGGGGGATGACGGTAGGGAGTGATGGATAGAAAACTATGTATTAGTATAAAGCACACTGTTCAGTGTTAAAACACGTGCTTTGAATGAAGAGACCCCCCCCAAACAGGCTTTGTGTAAGCAACATGGCTGTTTATTCACCTGGGTGCAGGTGGGCAGGGGCTGAAAAGGGCGTCACCGAAGGGTGGTGGGATAGGAGTTGGTTTTATAGGTTTGCGGTGGGCAGTGGAAAGTTACAGAGTAAGATCAGTTACAGTGGTGGGGTAGGGGCAAGGGGTATACATGACCGTAAGTTCAGTTACAATGGTGTAAGAGTAGTTAAGATGGCAGGGTGGGGTGACCTGTCTTAACTCAGGGAAGCTCTGCTGGGCTATCAGGGCTAATGGCAAATGCAGGCAGGGGTTGGGGGGTGATCAGCCGAGGCAGGCAGGACTTCAGACTTTCTGGGTCTGGGCTTGCACATGGAGGCCTGACGTGCAGGTGACAGATACTCTAAAATCCTAGACTTCACCACTATACAATTCTTCCATGTCTCCAAAAACCACTTGTACCCCTCAAGCTATTGAAATGAAAAAAACTTAAAAATAAATTTTTGGGCTGGGCTTGGTGGCTGGGATAACACCTGTGCGTTAACAGGTGTTATCCCAGCACTTTGGGAGGCTGAGGTGGGTGGATCACCTGAGGTCAGGAGTTTGAGACCAGCCTGGCCAACATGGTGAAACCCCATCTCTACTAAAAATACAAAATTTAGCTGAGCACGGTGGCGTGAACCTGTAATCCCAGCTACTCAGGAGGCTGAGGCAGGAGAATCACCTGAAGGTGGCGGGGGGTGGGTGGTGGGGTGCAGAGGTTGCAGTAAGCCGAGATCACGCCACTGCACTCCAGCCTGGCCATCAGAGAAAGACTCTGTCTCAAAAAATAAATAAATAAATAAATGATTTTTTAAAAGAAGAGGAAAAACTGAATTGGCAGAGCCACACAGTGTAATAAACTAATCAGATCTATTCGGCTAGAAAACTAATTTTGTACAATTGTGTCCATTTTCCCCCCCAAGGAGTTTCATACCTTGATGCAAATGGGGAGATTTCAGGCAAAGTGTAATTTAATGTTAATTTGCATTTCTGACCATGGAGGGGTATGTGAAATGTGCCTTCTTTTCTATGGCATAGATAAGACGGTGGCACTCTGAGAGGCTCAAAAGGAAGCTTCCTCCCCCAAAAGCCATCCCCTACATAACCCTAAAACAAAAATGGCGCATCTCAGAAGGACCTTGGAGGTGTCGTTGGAAGATTGATACCTGCAGCTGCCATTATGCTTGCACTCCCTGACATGCAGTAGGTGTCCATAAACACCTGATGGCTGGATGAATTAACAAGCTCTTTATTCAGTGGTCCCACCCCAAACCTGCATCCCTCCAACAGTCCTTCCATATCCATCTAGGTGATGGGGGCGGGGTTGTTGATGGAAATAGGCAAGAACCAAATTTGCAAACTCCCCTGCTGGCCTCACAATAATTCATGCTCATCTGCGTCTAATAAAATATGGAAGCAATTTTACAGGAACATTTTGTGCTTTAGCGATTCATTTAACTCTTTCCTCCAGGGGGAACGTCGTCTATCCTCATCCAGATGTGTGGGAAGTTCCGTGTATAAATCTGCAAATATCTTAAGAAGAGATGCTCCTCTCCCTGCCGGGAGCCCAACTCTAGTGAAGGAAAGCTTGAAAGTGAACACCAACCAAGCTTATCCTGGCCTCCTTTCCCACCAGTGGTTTCATGCCCCGTGTCTGTCCCACTGCTGAAGTGACCTGAAATTGCTAGAGGAGGTGAGTGCTGAAGGCAATGTCCCCTAGAGTCAAATTCACCCCCTTACTTGGCAGGGCCTCCAAGAGATGAGCTGCTGTCCACCCCATCAGCCCCCAACACCAGACCACCAGGAAGGACACTCGTTCAGGTGCCACAGCAGCTGCCACCGTCTCCCCAGACACCATGAACAGCCCCTTCACTGTTCCTGGCTGTGTCCACCTCTGTGAGCTGCCCCCAAACTCCTTGCAGATTTAAGAACCGATGAATAAAAATGAGTAACACCCGCCCCGAGCCGCCCGCCTATCGCTCCATTCACGTCCTGATTTTCTGGGTCACCAATTTTTTTTAATTAAACTTTTCAGATGATTGTAAATTCACATGCGGTTGTAAGAAATAATACAGCGAGAGCTCATGAATCCCTTACCTGATTTCCCCGAGCCGTAGCTGTCAGGCCTCCATGTGCAAGCCGGAACCCAGAAAGTCTAAAGTCCTGCCTGCCTTGGCTGATCACCCCCCACCCCGGCCTGCATTTGCCATTATCCCTGATGGCCCAGGGGAGGTTCCCCCGGCCATTAAGCTGCTGCTTTTTTTTTTTTTTTTACAATTGAAACTAGGAATTCAGAATTAATATCCTTGCCCGTGAGCTTCTTATAGACACCAGAAAAAGTTTCAACCTTGTGTTCCACATAGTTCTGCTGTGCTTTGTCCAAATGAACCTTTATGAGCCGGCTGCCATCCAGTTTCACGCAGATTCTCTTGCCCACAATTTCTCTTGGGAAGAGCAGGTCCTCGAGGATTGCATGGTGCACAGCTGTCAGAGTACGGCTCCTGGGATGCTTTTGCTTATTTTTTGTATGGTGTTTTCGAGTTGGCTTAGGCTGAATTCTCCTCTGAGCGATAAAGATAACATGCTTCCCACTGAACTTTTTCTCCGACTTGCGTACTAGCCAGACTTGGATTTTCTGGAAAGATTTTAGTTGAAGAACGGGAACGAAGATTACGATAGCTTTCCGGCCACCACCAACTTCAATTTCCTTAGCTGCTGTAATATTCAGCTCCCTGAGCTGAGCCTTGAGGTCTGAGTTCACCTCCAGCTCCAGAAGAGCCTGGGAGATGCCAGACTCAAACTCATCTGGCTTCTCGCCACTGGGCTCCACGATCTTGGTGCTCGAACTGAACATGGCTTTCTCCTTGGTGAGCGCCGACTTAGGAAAAAGCTGGACATTAATCTTCTAAACCCACGCTGCCAACTTAACTGTTATTATGATAATGTGAATACTCCTCATCCCACCCAGCCATCTTAACTAGTTTGCACCTTACCCCACCCGCCACTGTAACTGAACTTAGAGTAATGCCTACTCCTTGCCCCACCCCCACCACCATAACTAATCTTACTCCGTAACTCCCCAGGCCCCTCCCCAAAAGATTTGCCCCAACCTATAAAGCCAACTCCTATCCCACTGCCCTTCTCTAACGCCCTTTCGGACTCAGCCCACTGGCACCTGGGTGAATAAACAGCCATGTTGCTCACACAAAGCCTGTTTGGGGGGGTGTCTTCATTCAAAGCTTGTGTCTTAAGAGTAGCATCTTGCAAAACTATAGTGCAATATTGGGTCACCATTTTTTTTTTTTTTTTTTTT